GACATCTTGGCGGCAGCTATCAAGTGGAAGTTCCCGCAGCATGGCAATCCTCGCGGCTGCCGATCCCAGCGACTTTGGTTTTCGGCTTGGCCATGGTGATAAGCCACCACGGGCGCCTGGCGGCCGGCCTAGGGAACCCCTAGCCTTCCACCTCTACCTGAGGCCGTCGGAGATGCTGCGCGCGAGGTGGCGGCGGTGGCCCCCGCCGCGCGGGGCCGGCCGAGGCGGGGCCGACGGGTGGTGCCTCGCATTCCGCCCGCGAGAGGACGGGGTCCAGTCGATTGCCGACGAGTTCGACGAGAACATCTCAGTCGACTCAGAGGGCCACCTCAGCTTGTTGAACAGGGTGCTGTCCGTCAAGCACGCAGAGGCGAAGCGGGGGAACAGTCTGGATCAGTTCCCGGTCGACGACCTGGGCGCCAAGTCCTGCCTCGCGGCGATCAAGGAGGCTGGCGAAAGGCCGAGCTTGCCGAGGCCGCCCGTTGCTCGCCAGCTTCGTCACGCGGGGCCAAGTTACGACCTGCCCCAGAAGATTCGCAAGCTGCCCGAGGTGAAGGCCCGCGGTCGCTGGCCCGCGGGCTCGCCAGTCCGCCGCTATGCGAAGCAGAATGGGATCAACGAGCAGATCGCCGCGCTGCCGCCCGAGGCCCAGGTCCACTGCGACAGCGCTTGGTCAACATTGGTGATGTCCTCTTGAAGCGATGTGCCCCCTCCGCGCCGCCGTGGGCGAGGGGGGGATGCGCCTGTCCCGACTGGCGATCCAGGTCTTTTCAGGATCTGATAGTCGGTCCACCGCTATGCGAAAGTGAGGATATCTTGCCATAGAGGTTACCGTGGTTCATGGATCACATAGTGATGTCACGAGCTCGTCATTCTCCAAGCTGCTTTTTCCGTTATTCAACTCAGGTGCTATCTGGGCCGTGCATATCGGAACTCCGTGCTGCAATGCAGCTTCGCCAGAGCTCGAGGTCGCGGTTCAGGGCCCGGAGCTTTTCGGATTGCCGAGCAGCCGCGGGGCTTTGATAGCTAGCTTCTATCGAATGCTGGCAGCGACAAATTTCTTACAGGTAATCTGCTTACTGACTTCTCCGCTCGGTTGTCCGAACGACGTCGCCTTCGACGAATCCCATGTTCGTTGGAGAATCCCCACACTCCAATGTTGCGGTGTCTTCCGCAGTAAGGCAACCTGGCCGTGCGACAGGATGCGCGGATAGATGCATTGACTTCTGCATGGGCGGCTGATGACAAGTCGCATCGATCTCGATCGTGTAGTTCGCCAATGCACATCTCGCAGCGGCATAGGCTGCCGCGCGCTCCGCGCCCATCAGACCCTGGAAGGGAAAGATGAGCACGAGATCTTCTGGACGATTGCTGAGCCCTTCACAGTTGTGCTCTCGAATGTCGGCAGCAGTGGATGCTAGCAATGCTTCTTTGGGTTTTTACCTAACAGCGAAAACTGATAGGTTTTTAGTGGGCTCAAAAGAAAGCATCTTGACTCCCCAGGGGGGTCTGGGCGGGTGCCGGGAGAAGCCGGGGAACCCAGGGGTTCCCCGGGACTTTTATAGATTCTTATAGTTCCCTATGGATTCTTATTCTTCGTGTTCCCAGAACACCATTCCCAAGCCACATTTTGAATGCCCGAAGCCAGCTGTAGGCCACTTCGTGTTCTTCGTGTTCCCAGAACACCATTCCCAGGCCACATTTTGAATGCCTGGAGCCAGCTGTAGGCCACTTCGTGTTCTTCGTGCTCCCAGAACACCATTCCCAGGCCACATTTTGAATGCCCGGAGCCAACTGTGGGCCACTTCGTGCTCTTCGTGTTCCCAGAAGACCATTCCTGTACCATAGTTTGATTGCCCGGGGCCAACTGTGGGCCACTTCGTGATCCTCGCTCTTCCAGAACACAAGTCCCGTGCCATATTTTGAATGCCCGAGCTGAGGCAGGCTGGGGCTGAGGCTGAGACGCGCCGAGGCAGGCTGAGGCTGAGGCTGAGGCAGGCTGAGGCTGAGGCAGGCTGGGGCTGAGGCTGACGGCGGCCGAGGCCGAGGTGGGCTGGGGCTGAGGCTGAGGCAGGCTGAGGCTGAGGCAGGCTGAGGTTGAGGCCGAAGCAAGCCGAGGCAGGCTGAGGCTGAGGCTGAGGCTGAGGGAGGCGGAGGCAGTCTGAGGCTGAGGGGCTGAGGCCGAGGCAGGCTGAGGCCGATGCAGGCTGAGGCTGAGGCAGGCTGAGGTCGAGGCAGGCTGAGGCCGAGGCAGGCTGAGGTTGAGGCCGAAGCAAGCCGAGGCAGGCTGAGGCTGAGGCTGAGGCTGAGGGAGGCGGAGGCAGTCTGAGGCTGAGGGGCTGACGCAGGCTGAGGCTGAGGCTGAGGCAGGCTGAGGCTGAGGCAGGCTGGGGCTGAGGCTGACGGCGGCCGAGGCCGAGGTGGGCTGGGGCTGAGGCTGAGGCAGGCTGAGGCTAAGGCAGGTTGAGGCTGAGGCTGAGGCAGGCTGAGGCTGAGGCCGAGGCTGATGCAGGCTGAGGCTGAGGGGCTGACGCTGAGGCTGAGGCAGGCTGATGCTGAGGCCGAGGCAGGCTGAGGCTGAGGCTGAGGCGAGCCGAGGCAGGCTGAGACTGATGCTGAAGCTGAGGCAGGCTGAGGCTGAGGCTGAGGCTGTGGCTGAGGCTGAGGCAAGCTGCGACTGAGGCAGGCTGAGGCTGAGGCTGAGGCAGGCTGAGGCTGAGGCAGGCTGAGGCTGATGATGAGGCAGGCTGAGGCTGAGGCTGAGGCCGAGGCAAGCTGCGGCTGAGGCCGAGGCAAGCCGAGGCAGGCTGAAGCTGAGGCTGAGGCTGAGGTTGATGCAGGGCAGGCTGAGGCTGAGGCAGGCTGAGGCTGCGAGCTTGAGGCCGAGGCAGGCTCAGGCCGAGACGCGCTGAGGCTGAGACTGAGGCTGAGGCTGACGATGAGGCCGAGGCAGGCCGAAGCTGAGACAAGGGTGAAGCTGAATGGGGGGAGGGGAAGGGGGGGGGGGGGGGGGGAGGAGGGAGGCTGAGGCAGGCTGAGGCCGAGGCAGGCTGAGGCCGAGGCAGGCTGAGGCCGAGGCAGGCTGAGGTTGAGGCCGAAGCAAGCCGAGGCAGGCTGAGGCTGAGGCTGAGGCTGAGGGAGGCGGAGGCAGTCTGAGGCTGAGGGGCTGACGCAGGCTGAGGCCGAGGCAGGCTGAGGCTGAGGCTGAGGCAGGCTGAGGCTGAGGCCGAGGCAGGCTGAGGCTGAGGCTGAGGCAGGCCGAGGCAGGCTGAGGCTGAGGCTGAAACTGAGGCAGGCTGCGGCATCTGTAGGAATCCATAGGAACCCATAGGAATCCATAGGGCAGCCTTAGGAATTCGTATGCAGAGTTAAGCATCCTCAGGAATCATTAGGAAACTTTTGGATTCCCAAGGAATCCTTAGGAATCCTGAGGAATCCATCGGAATCAGGATTTGTAAGAATGCCAAAGGTTTCCTACGGATTCCTAAGGATGCCTCAGGATGCCTTAGGAATCCTTTAGGAATCCTTTTTTAGGAATCCTTAGGGTCCCATTGGATCCTAAGGCCGTTGCCACTGCGACTGCCGTTGCGAATGCGATTGCGACTGCGAGAACAGCAGAATTCTACAATTGGATTCTCGCTTGAATCTTAAGGGGGACGCTTCCAGATATGCGTGTGCACATCGCTGTTCGGTTGCTTTGCCAGGATAATTTCAATAACATGTCAATGATGCTGGTGTGACCCCACCCAACCCTACCCAAAACGCAAGTTCGAGAATGATGTTGATTCGTTTGCTGGCTCGCCTGGGGAGGTGGTTCCGAGGCGGCGCTGGGCCGCCTCGCTCGCCGCCCGGGCGCAAAGCGCATTGATTCGAGCGACCGTGTGAGAAAAGATGGCATCGGGAGTTCAAGATTCCTAACTGGTTGTTGGTGATCTTATTCTCCTGAGGCTTTCGCCGCTCCGCGGTAGTCTTGGGGGTCGGGGGGGGGTCCGAACCGTTTGGGGAGGGGGGGGGGGGGGGGGGCAATGCCAGCGCGTTGTACCTTTGGAGTTTGAATCGAATGATGCGACCGACCTCCTGCTTTCATCCGTGGCTGCGTGGCTCCGCCCGCCGCGCCTTTTCAAGCAGATCTTGATGCGTTTGCTGGCTCGCCTAGAGAGGTGGCTCCGAGGCGGCGCTGGGCCGTCTCGCTCGCCACCCAGGTGCAGCGCGTATTAGTTCGAGCGACCATGTTTGAAAGAGGGCCTCGGGAGTTCAAGATTGATAACTTGTACCTGGTGATCTTATTATCCTGAGGCTTTTGCCGCTCCGCGGTAGTCTTGGGGGTCGGGCGAGTTCCGAACCATCGGTCCTGCCCCGACTCCTCCTGTAAAGCTCCCACGGCAAACTGATGTAGCATCCGTTCTGCCGCGTTTACGCAGTGAAGTTGAAGGTGCAGGATGTGCTCTGCAGCTTCTTTGTTAAAAAGGGTTTTCTGCGCGGTAGCGGAGCAGTGGCTCCCTGCCCATGGCGCCCGGGGGCCTTCGCGCGCCTGCGCGGGGGCGCCGCCGTTCCGGGCCGCGCTCGGGCGTCGCGGGCGGCGGCCGCGCGTCGGGCGCCAGCTTGTCGGTGGGCGGCAGATGTCGATCTTCGTGGATCACCGCTCGGCAGACACTGGCGCGGAGCTGTTGGCGCGTGGAAGTGTTTGTTGCTTTCCTGCTGACGGGCGCAGAAACTTTCGATGTTGTGGTCGCACCTTGCGCAGCACGTGCGCCGATCTAGCTGGGCCGCTTCGCCTTGACTAAGCTGCGCGCGTGGGTTGAGCAGCTATTCAACCATGACGCAAACTTCAGCAAACAGCTACAGCAGCAACTGCAAAAGCTCACGCGGGAATTGCAGAGGCAACGCCAAACCCAATGACTGGGCTTGCCAAGCAGCGGAGGGATACGGTTCAGAATCTTGCCGACGCTACAGCAGACAGGGGGGAGGCAAGTTCGTCGGCATTCCCTGGTGGACACGAGGGGCCGGGGAATCCCGTGGTCTTCAAGAGTGTTAAGGGCAAGTTCCTGGAGTGGTATCGTAAGACGCGTGCGTACCTAGTGGCAGTATTCGGTGAGCAGTCAAGACGCGTGCTGGAGTGGGTCGAAGATCAAGCTCAAGACACCACGCCGATCACGATCGAGACAGTCCGGTCGGGGTTGAGGGGTCAGACGCGGGGGGATACGTTCCAGTTTTGAAGGAGTAGGTCAGCCAGTCGTGCGCAGCCCTCGAGGCCCGCAGAGGGCGAGATTTTTTCCATCGTGCTCAACGCTCTGAGGGGCAAGAGGAGGGCGTTGCTCAGACGGGCCATGACCCCTCTGCGCTCCACGCCCGCCGATCTTCGCGGTGGGCTAGAGGGGCGGGAAGGACATGTCCGCTTGTGCGAGAAGAGGAGGGCAGGCGGAAATGCCGAGGGTGTCGAAGACGACGCGAAGATGGCGGCGCAGGAAACAGTCGTGCCGGAGGAGTTGAAACTGCACCTGGCGATGAATAGGGCCAGGCTGGGCACGTCCGACAAGATGCCCGACGAGAGCCCTGCGGCTTCCTGAAGTTCGGCAGTCGCAAGGAGCATTCAAAAGGATGCAGAAGGGCGATCTCGTGGGCGTGGATCCCCCGCTTCTGTCACCACCCACCAACCCACCCCACCCCAACCCGAAGGCCTCGATTTGCCCTCCATTTCCAGTGGGGGGGGGGGCCGGGGAACGTCGAAAAAAACGCATGGAATCCGTGCCCCCCCAACCCGGGGGGGCGGCGGGGCGGGCGGGGGCGCCGTCGCGAGGCGAAAGTTTGCCGATGCAGATCATGCGGCGGCAAGGCGGCCCGGGCAGTGGCAAGTCTGATGATTTGAGGAGCAAAGGCAATTCGGAGGGTGACAAAGGCAAGGGCCGGGGCTCTCGATTACTGGCAGCGCGGCTTTATGGGCGTCGCGTCGAGATCGGGCGTGCGACGGGGGGGCGACCGCGATGTCCGCGCCGCCCCTGGTAGCGAGGTCGGGTGCCGCGTCGGTTGTCCGGCGGCCCCCGCGAGGCTGCCAAGTTCGAGGCGCGCGGCGTTCATTCCCGATTTGGGTCGCCCGCTGGGTTCCCGGTTTCCCGGGTTCCCGGTTCCGGGTTTCGGGGTTCCCGGTTCCGGGCCGATTTCGGAGGGCGGCGAGGTTCCTGTGTTCCCAGGTTCCTGGTCGATATTCTTATCGATCGGTCTCACCATCGATTTCATTGCCCATTTCTCTATCGATCTCACCATCGATCTCGCAATCGATCTCACTATCGATTTCACAAGCGATCTCACTAGAGATCGCATGAGCGATCTCGCGATCGATCTTATTATCGATCTCATTGAATCGATGTCACTCTCGGTCTCGCGATCGACCCTACAATCGTCCTCTATCGGTCTCATGATCGATCCCACAAAAGATCTCAATATCCTTAGTCTGAATTGTCAAATCATCCACTATTGGGTTTTTTCATATGTAATTTTTGAGCTCGACATCGCAGTCGCGACGTTCCCGCGGCCGACGCGAAGGGCCATGCGGGGGCGCGGCGGACGCGGCGTCTACCGACGGCGCGGCCTCGGGGCCTCGGGCGGGATGATGCCCGACGATGGCGGCGTCGAGTTCGAGGGCCGTTCCGAGCGGGGCGAGCCGGCCGCCGCGAGAGGGCGGCTCGCGGGCGCTGGCGCGCCCCGGGGGCTCCCGCAAGTCAAGTGCACCGCGCTGGGCGGGCTATGCGGCTGACCGCCGGAGGGGGGCGCGCTCTGCCAAGTTGCCCGGAGCTTATCGCGCGCATCAGCGACATGACCGAAGGGGCCATCTGGCGCGAGAAGGGCGTCGCCCCGCTGCGCCCAGCGAGGGGAGTTCACATTGGATATGCGCGGAGAAGTGGCGGAGGTTCCGGGCGCGATCGTCGAGTTCGATTCGGGGGGGCACCGCCTAGGGGGCGGGCCCTGTCCCTCGGTTGATGGCGTGCTTCTCGGGCCCTAGCCAGCAGGCCTGACCGCGCGGCCGTCGGGGGCAGGCGCTGCGGCAGGGGGCCCGAGCCGAGCGCGGTTGGAGCCGGTCGCCCCCGCGCAACGAGGCGCGCGCGAGAGGGCCCGCGCGACCAGAGATCGAGAACAACGCCGCGTCGCGGCATGCTGCGTTCAGATCTCGGCGCGAGGGGTGCATCGCGACGGCAGGCCTCGCAGAGATCGGCGCGCCGCGCAGATTGGGACGGAGCGCGGACTGATCTGGCGGCCAGCGTCGAGTTTCGGAGGAGGGCGCCGGCGCGAGGCCGAGAAGGTCGCCGACGCGGGGGATCGCGATTTCAACCCCGCGCCGGTCGCGTCAAAGTGGACGTTCAAGTTCAGTGGGGCGAAGGCGGTGAATTACAAGACTGCGTCAGACTTAGTTGTCAAGTGGCTCGCGGCCCCCCTGGGGCACCTGGGCCGCCGTCGGACCCGCTTCGAGTCTGACGGGGGGGGCGGGCGCCCGCGCGATCAAGAACGCCGCGATGGAGGCCGTCGGCAAGCAGGTCGAGCGCGCCTCAGTGGAGTCGCCCACGGGCGAGGACAGGAGCAACGGGGGAGTTGGGTTGACGGTCGAGGTGGTCAAGAAGGTGATCCCGGCGAGTTTGGTGGATCTGCAACGTGCTCTTGGGCTGGTCGATCGCCCCGCCGTCGGGCGGCCGCAGCAGTTCGCGGCGGACTCAATCCCCAAGTTCAGGGTCGGCGCGGGCGGCGGGGGCGAGGAGGCGAGGGGGGGCGCCTTGCCCTAGCGGGGGGTTCAGGGGTCTTCTACTGGCCGCTTGGCGCGAGGAGCGCCCGCGGCGCGCTTGCGCCGCAGATGCGCCCTGGGCGCGTCTGTGAGCGTCGCCGCGGGACTGGGGCTTCCTTCGTCGTGGCTCGGGCCAGCGCCGCGAAGACGCGCGCGCTCAACGGGCCGCCGGAAGAGCAGGCTGCGGGCCGCGGATGAGCGGGCCCATTGTCATGAAGTTCATGGGGAATTGAATGGCGAGCGGGCGCGGGAAAGGGGGGCGCGACGCAGCCATCTGGAGGAGGTCATGGCTCAGGAGGGACATCGAGAAGCGCGGACAGACCCCGGGGCGCCCAGGCTGCGCGGGCGTGACGCCCGGAGGTTTAGCGAGCATTTCACGTCCGCAGGAATGTCGCGACCGCAACGCGGACGAGACGATGACCGACGAAGCCTGTCGAGCGCGTCTTGCTGGGCGCCGTCTGCGAGCGAGCGCCCGCGAGGGCAGGCTGGAGGCGCCGCCATCAATGCCCAACCTGGCGCGGCAGTCGAAGGCAGCGGCGGGCCAGCTGCAGGCGATGTTGCAAACCTCCGAGCCCAATGCGCACAGACACCACCGCCGCCAAGATCTGCAAACATCCATGAAGCAGCGTTGCTCAAGTGGGCAGTCCGCAGCCCCCCCACTCTGTCCTTGGGGTCGAAGCAGAATGCATCCAAACACCCGCGGCGGTGGTGTGCGTATCTAATTTTGTTGGGGGGGGGGATTTATACGCGCCGCCGCCAGGAAGTGCTGTTTCTCCTTCGGGAATTTCCCCACCGCGGCCCCCCCGCGCCGCTCCGCGCCCCAGCTCGCTGCGGGGCCGCAGCCTAGTCCGGCGCGACCTCGGCTCCAACCATTTTTGCGATTCTTTGGTTTTCGGGCGGTGGTGGCGCGTAAGGATTGGCCTCGCAATCCGAGCGCAACATGTGACAGCCGCCAAGATCGGGTATAATCTGCGATCCGATTTGGTGCAGTTCTGCTCTGGTGGGGGACCCGCGGCCCCCCTCCCGCCGCCAGCGGCAGCCGGGCTGCCCCCTCTCTTGAGGACCGAAGCAGAATTCTCCAAAGCAGGCTCGGTGGTGTGGTGCGTATATTTTCGGTTCCAAAGGGAGAGTAGTTTGACGCGCCACCACCAAGTAGTGCGGCTTTTGATTCAGGGCCTCCCCTACCGCTGCGCCCGCGCGCTGCGCCGCAATCCGGATCGCCGCGGGGTCGTAGTGCCGTCTGGCTTGACCTCGCCTTCAACTATGAGGTGGCGGGAGGTGGCGGTGCGTGGAGGTGGCGGGAGGTGGCGCTGCGTGAAAATTGGCCTCGCGCGCAAGCTCGGACCCCGGTGGCGCTCTCAGGGCGCATGGCCAGGAAGTGCGGGGCTGGCCAGGATGCCGGCGGAGCCCGCGGGAGCCCGCGAGAGGGTTGCGAGCGCGACCCGAGATCGAGGTCGAGATCCTCAGCCGCGAGCCGCTGCTGGTGCACGACGCAAGCGGGCCTCTTGGGCGGACGAGGGCCATTGGAAGATGGCCGTGGGCGGGGGGCCGGCGGCGGACGCGTCGCAGCCGTCGGGGGTTGGGTCAGCGCCCGTCGGACTGCGGCCAGCAGGTGCTACAGGAGCCCCGCGCCCAGGGGGCCGCCGAAGGTCGGGCGGCGCGGGGGGCCCGGCCGGGCTGGCAGCCGCAGCCGGTAGCAATGTGGACATCGGCGCTTTCGACGAGGTCAGGGGCCAGACGCACGGCGTCGGCTTGGCGGAGGTCTACCCCCCAGGAAGACTCCATGATGAGGCGCCTGGGCCAGGCACGGCGGCTGGGCAAGCGGCTGATCTCACCGCGGGGCGGGGCCTGGGATAATAGAAGCATCGCGCCGGAGCAAATGGGCTAAGACGGCGTTGCGGACATCGCTTCTGCCCCATGCGCCGTTCTGCCCCTGCTCCTTTCAAGCGCTGAGCGACAGTGGCGGGGCCCGGAGGTTCATGCGCGCGAGACTTCCGAGGGCGAGGCGCTCGTGGAGTTCGCCGCGCAGACGGGCGAGCGGCGGCGTCGACGAGGTGCTCTAGTTCTTCGCGGACATCTTTGGTCTGCCGCATCCTGGGGGCGACCCCGTGCTCGACGCGTTCGTGGCCTTCTGGCGTCGACGCGACGCGCGGATCCGCGCGCGGGCGGGGCTTGCGGTCGCGTCGGCCCGATGGGCGAGAGGCTTTCGCTCGCGAGGAAGAGGTCCTGGAGGGCGAGTGCCGACGTTCTTGGGGGGGGCGGCGGCCCACGCCGACGTGCGCCCCCAGTTTGGGGCCAGCGGGGGGCAGCGCAGAGGCGCCCGCCGCGGCTGGTGAAGGCCATTGCGAGGGGGCGCCAGGAAGAAATGAAACGAGGAGAATCGCTGAGTGACGGGGCAGGTTGGACTGGCGGACCGTGACCTCGCGGGGGGGGGGGGGGGGGGGGGTCGAGCAGGAAGAGGCCCACGCGCGCGACGCGCGCGGTGGGCTTTGGGGCCCGCGGCGCGTGAGAGACGCTAGGCGCGAGGAATTTGAGCGGCGCGGAAGTCGATGCTTCTGCCAGGGTTCCATGGCGGGAGACGGGGCCAGGGGGCGGCCGACCGATCGACGCGCGTTGGATGGGCGCCAACGGAGAAGATCTCGACCGCCCGCTACGACGCTCGAGATCGGCACCCGCGACGCGCGGAGGGACTTCCACCGCCTGCGAAAGACTTCTTCTCGGGCACGTCGCCGCGCGAGGCGATCGAGGCGCTTGCAAGCGTCTTCGCGAGCGGGGCGCGCGAGCAGTTCCATTGCGTCGCCGGAGGAGGTGGCCCGCAAGTTCCGCGACGCCAGCCTTGCCCATTTCTACGGCAAGGTCGCCCGGCGCATTTCGGTGGGGCTTCCGTCCGAGGAGCGCGGAGGCGAAGGGGGGCCGATGGTCGGGTTCTGGAATCGGGCTTGGCGCTTGCGCGATGGGCGCCAGCCAAGTCTGGAAGAACAGCTACGTCGAACTGGTAGTAGAGAAGAAGTTTGAGCAAGGGCTTTCGAGGCTATTCTTCGGCACCCAGCACGGAGCATTTCGCGGGGGAATCGCGGAGGCGACGTCGGGGTGCCGATGTTTGCCGGTGCGATCATTCGCGGCCCGCGCCTGGGAGAAGCGACGCCGGCCCAGACGCCCTCGGTCAAGAGGGCGCCAAGGAGACGTTGGGGGCTGATTGGGCGCCGACGCGACAGGCCAGACCTGGGCCGCTCGACGTCAGCGCTGGCAAAGAAGGCGCAGACGCCCGCCGAGTCGGACGTGGCGGGGGCGAGATTTGGTAGGCATCTTGATCGTGCTCGCCCTGGAAGCGCGAGGTGCAAATTGCAGCCGCTGCCCGATGGGATCGATGGCATCGCGGGCGCAGATTGCGCCGGCGATGCTACAGCTCGGAAGTCGAGGACAGTAGTGATACTCATGCTCGGGTCTTGCATGATCAAGCATGCCTCGACCAATCGAACGGACGTCGCGGTCTTGTGTGGCGAGGGTGAGCACTGCGCCATGCTGATGGGTGCGACCCGCGCGCTCGGCCCCCAGTCCATGCTGCCGACTACGGCACCCAGGCAATGGACTACATAGGGGATGGGCCTCTCCCCCATCGAGCTCCACAGTGACAGCGTTCCTGCTGAGGACGCTGCGACACGCCGGGGCATTGGCACGGCGCGCCATCTCTATGCCAGATACCCGCGGCTCCAGGAACAGCTGACTGCTCGCGACGAGGTGGTGGAGCACATTCCAGGCTCAGCCAACCCAGCTGACATCTTGACCAAGCCCCTTGACCAGACACCAATGAGACGCCCCGACGAGGGCAGCGAGCTGCTTCGAGCATGGGAAAATTCAGAGAGCTTGCCGGCCAGGCTGGCCACAGCTTTTTCGTGCGAATGGGGTGGCGCATGGTGTTTCCAACGGTCCTTGTGCGTCGCAGTCGCAGTAAAGACTGAGTACTAAGATCTGCCGTGCATGATTCAGGTTGCGGGGCAACGCTTGTTTTGGCCACCGTCGTGTTTGGCGGACGCTTGCGCCGAGTATTTACGGTGGTCCTGCCATGTTGATGTTTCGTGGCTGTGCGAGAGGCATGGCCAGCTTCGGACGTGCGAGATGCCAAGATCCGCAGACAGTTTGCGATGCTGGTTGTGGCAACAAGGCGGGTGGTTTCCGCCTTCCACACGTTACTGTCCAGTGGAGTCAGGCTCTCACGGCATGATGTTATGGAGCATCTGTTTTGTTGCGCAAAAAACATGTCAGTTGATGTTGGATGGTGCGTTCCGCTTTTCATCTGCTTCAAAAGTAGTTGTTGCACCTTTCCATCCCTCCTTTTTTATCTCGATCCATCCCTCTCACATTTGTTTGTCTCTCTGCCTCCCTCTTTCTCGTTCTCTCTCTCTCTCTCTCTTTTTTTTTTTGTTTTTCTCTCTCTCTCTCTCTTTGTCGTCTATCTACGTATCCCTCTTCTCTCTCTCTCTCTCTCTTTCTCCCTCTTCACTCGCTCTCTTTTTTGTTGTTTCTCTCTCTCTCTCTCTTTCTCTCCCTCCCTCTCTTTATCTCTCACTTTCTCTCTCTCTCTCTCTCTTTTTATTTCTCTCTCTCTCACTCTCCCTTTGTTTGTTCCTTTTTTTTTGTCTCTCTCTCTCTCTCATTTCTCCCTCTCTCTCTCTCTCTCCCTCTCTCTTTCTCTCTCTCCCCATCGTTTCCCCCCTTCGCCCCGCTGCCTTTGCTGCAGACCCGTTGCTTCGCCCGCAGGTGTTCGTAGAGGCGTTCCAGCCGCCCCAGCGCTGGTCGTGCGGCGGCTGAAGGGGAGGGATGAAAGAGGCAGTATGACATGGCAATGGGGGCTCGATGGAGGGTGAGTGAGAGATGGCGAGAGAAAGAAGAGGCCTGGAGGGACGGATTGACGGGAGGACGGCGAAATGATATAGGGGGAAAGGCGGAACGCGCGGGAGGATCAGGGGGTGGTGGTGGGGGGGGGGGCCGGGAGGAGGACGAGGATGAAGAGGCCGGCAGGAAGAGATATGGGCGGGAGGAACAGGGAACATGGGGTGAGAGGGGGAGGGGAACAGGGATGAAGATGATGATTCCAATGATGATGATGATGATGAAGAAAAAGAAGAAGATGATATTGATGATGATTATGATGGTGATAATGATGATGGTGATGATGTTGATGATGGTGATGCTGATGATGCTGATGATGATGACGATAATGGTGGTGGTGATGATGATGGTGATGATGGTGATGGTGGTGATGATGATGATGATGATGTTGATGATGACGATGACGACGACGATGATGATGATGCTGATGATGATGATGATGGTGGTGGTGGTGGTGATGCTGATGCGAATGAGTATGAGGATGAGGATGAGGATTTGGAGGAGGAGGACGAGGACGACGGATGCGAATGAGGATGACGATGACGATGGTGATGAGGATGAGGGTGAGGGTGAGGATGAGGATGTGGATTTGGGATGCTGATGCTGCTGATGATGACGATGATGCTAATGATTGCGATGATGATGAGGATGAGGATGAGGATTTGGATGAGGATGATGGATGATTATGCGGATGATGATGCTGATGCTGATGCTGATGTTGATGCTGATGATGATGATGATGATGATGATGATGATGATGATGATGATGGTGATGATGATGGTGCTGATGATGATGATGATGATGATGATGAGGTTGTTGATGAGGTTGTTGATGATGATGATGATGATGATTATGATGATGATGATGATGATGATGACGAGGATGATGTTGCTGATGATGATGATGCTGCTGATGATGCTGCTGCTGATGATGATGATGATGATGATGATGATGATGATGGTGGTGGTGGTGGTGATGATGATGATGATGATGATGATGATGATGGTGGTGGTGGTGATGATGATGATGATGATGATGACGTGTATGCTGAGGCTGATGTTGCTGATTATGCTGCTGATGGCGATGATGAGGAATAGGAGATTGAGAGATGGGGGAGGACGGGACACAGCTATTGACGGAGGGATGGTGATGGAGATGAGGACGGATACGAATGATGATGCAAAGATGGAGAACACGCGGAGGGGATCTGGAAGGAATGATGTGATGGGGTCTGGAGAGGGATGGGAATGTTGATGTTCCTTTGATTTGAGTTCCTCCTTTGTCGCCCTCGGACGTATCCACTCACTGCTGCGCTCGCTTCTGACCGCGTATACACCAATGCTGGTACGGTTTACGTTGGCGGTGGCAGTTTCTGCGTTCCCATGTGCTCATGGCGTGGCCGCAGGGACTCGGGAGCCAGAAGCTGCTATGGTCTCGAACGTGGCCCGGGTAAAGGACCCTGAGGCTCTGCTTGGCGTGCCCAGGAGTCGGAGCGCAGGGGCTGACCTGGCCCGCTGCCTTGGGAGACGTATGGCTTCAGCAAAATGGCTACGATCTTCTTCCTCTTCGTCCTCCACCTCCTCCTCGTCCCGTCGATCCGCCTCTTGATACCTCCACTCCTCTATTCGATCTTGCGTCTTCCCCGCCTCCACCTCTCGATCCTCCGTCCCCAATGTTTGCTGTCCTTACTCCTTTCCCTCCAGCTCCTCCTCCTCCTCCTCCTCCTCCTCCAGCTTCTCTGCCTCTTCCTTCTCCTTCTACTCCTCTCTCACACAGCCTGGTGCGACTATCCCTCTCCACCGCGGCGCCGCTCCACGCGCGGGTCCGTGGCCATTACCGCGGTGGTACCGCCCCACGCCAGGTCCGTAGGTTCCGAAGACGGGAGGAGTGGGGGGGAGGACCGAGTATTGTAACCAGATTCATATCACTTAGGAAAAGGGGGAAAGAATGTATGGGGGGTGGCTGGGCCTTTCAGTGGAGCTACAGCGTGAATGCTAAAGACGTGGCATCTTGCTTGTCACACCTCGCATGTAGTACTCTTGTATGTAGCGCTGTAAACGTGGTAGCTCTGCTCCTACTCCTCCTCCTCCTCCTCCTCCTCCTCCTCCTCCTCCTCCTCCTGAATGCGTATCCATAGTCTACGGCTTCAGGTTGGCCGGTCTAACCGTAACTATTGCGCCATCCGATCGTACATTGCATCGGACAGGCTGTCATATCGAAGAAACATGTGGCAATCCCTGGCTGGCTTTCGGAGGCTGCGAGGTCGTATAAGCGCTCGAGCACACAGTCAGCTTGCCTCAGGTCGTGATTCTGGTAGGCTCCAGCCGTCTCTTGGAGCGTGTTGGCGAGCCGCCTCTTGGGGTACTTATCGATGGGCTCGACGTTGGCGCTCTTGACGCTGATGGCCACCGATCGCGATCATAATGCCCAGCACTCCGTAGTGATATCCCACGCGCCCAAGGTATCCTCCAAACCATTGTAGCGCCTCTGCCCTTACGTCCGGTAATGTAGGTGGCGCCCCTTGTCGTAGTCCTGCGTGTGCAGGTGCTCCCGCCTGTTCGGGTGGCCTGCCTAGTTCTGCAGGTGGCTCGCGTAGCTTAGGTGATTGACTTCGTCGCTACGCTGGTGATCCTCGTAGCTCAGCTCGTTGCCCTTGTAGCTCAGCTGGTGGCTTTCGAGTTGGCCTTTGCAATTCAGCTCGTCGCCCTGGTAGCTCTGTAAGGGGCTTTCTGGTGGTCCTCGTGGCCCTGCTTGTAGCCCTAGTAGCTCAGCGCGTGGTCCTGGTAGCCCCGCTGGTGGCCCTCGTGGGTCTGCTGGTGGCTCGCGTAGCTCAGAAGGTGGCCCTCGTGGTGGAGCTGGTGTCCCTCGTAGCCCTGCTGGAGGCCCTGGACGCTCGGGAGGTGGCACTGGGAGCTTTGCTGGTGGCTCCAGTAGCTCTGCCTGCGGCCTTCGTGCCCCAGCTTTTAGCCTTTGTGGCTCAGCTGGTTGCTCTCGAAGATCTGCCTGTTGCTGTCGAAGCTCCGCGCGTAGCTCTCGTAGCTCAGCTGGTGGCCTTCGAAGCTCTGCTCGCAGCCCACAGCTGAGCAGGTGGCCCTCGTAGCTGGGCAGGTGGCCCTCGTAGCTGAGCAGGTCGCTTTCGAACCTCCGCTCGTGGCCCTTGCAGTTCAGTTCGTCGCCCTGGTAGCTTTGCAGGAGGCTCTCGTGGCGTTGCTTGTGGCCAGCGTAGCTCAGGCAGTGGCCCGCGTAGCTCGGCTGGTGGCTCTCCAAGCTCAGGTGGTGGCTCTTAAAGCTCAGCCGGTGGCCCTGGAGGCTTTGTTTCTTGCCGTCGTAGCTCTGCCAGTGGCCCTCAGAGTTCAGCCAGTGGGTCTTGAAGCCTTTGTTCTTGCCGTCGAATCTCTGCTTGTGGCCATCGAGGCTCAGCTGATGGTTATCGAAGGTTTGTTTCCGCCATCGCAGCTCTGCGGGCCCTCGAGGCGCAGCCAGTGGCTCTTGAGGCTCTGCTTCTTGCCGTCGAAGCTTTGGTTGTGGCCCTCGAAGTTCTGCTTCTGGCGATTGAAACTCTGCTGGTGGCCCTGGTGGCTGTGCTATTGGTCCTCGAAGCCGTGCTTCTTGTCGTCGGAGCTCCGCTGGTGGCCATCGTAGCTCTGCTGGTGGCCCTGGAAGTTCCGCTGGTGGCTTTCGAAAAGCCGGCATCGTGAGCGGTAGTGTGAGGAAGCCGTATGAGGCGTAATCGTCGAAGCCGTTGAACTCGTCGAACCTTTGTAGGCGTCGTAGTCGTCTTCGTCGTTGGCGGAGTCGGCGTGGTCCGCCAGTATTTCCACGACGATGTATTTGGTTACCGTTTCGGTGTGCTCGGCCTTGTCGCGCCTGGTGTTGTCTTTGGTGGTGTAGTTGTCGTGATTGCTTTCGTACCTGTCTTACTTAGGCACGTGCGCCCTTGTTGACGCATCACTCTGAGGCTGCCTGTCACTGGTCGGCGCGCCTCACCACCTTGGCGACGTCCTTCTGAGTGATGTAGCCGCCTGTCCGCGCGGCGCATCCCAGCCTGCGCGCTGCGGCGCGCTGCCCTCGGTCTCCAGCGGCTGGATATGGCCCCGAAGCCCTTCTCGTCATGGACTGCTGGCGCCCGCTGCCCCCGTTCCGCCATCGCGCGGCGGCGGGCCGTGCGGGCTGGGGCCAGCCCCGCTGCCGCGTGGCCCAGAGTGCGGGAGGTGGATCCCGCGCGCAGCTTCTCCTCCTGGCCCCCCCCCCCCCCCCCCCCCCTCCCCGTGCCGAAGGCTTCCGCGACCCCTGGGGCGGACGTTGCGCGGGGTGCATGGGGCGCCTGCAAGGGCGCGCGCTGAGCGCGCGCCCGACGAGCGCCTGCGCGACGCCCCAGGTTGCCGGGGCAGCGCCGGCCCGCGAGGTTCTCACCTCGCTCGCTGACAAACCGGCGGCGAGGCTGGAAGTCTCGCGCACCTCGCGGTCTTCGTCTCGGTGATGTCACGCTTCAACCACGAGGTCTTCCCCTCTCGCGGGGCGCCGCCCCGAACGCGGGCTTAAGATGGCCCTTTCGGCTGCGGGGGTCGGCAGTCTTCTTTGCATTCGATTCGTCGGAGGTTGCGACCTCCAGGACGCAGCCCGGCGGCAATGCTGGCGGCCCGCGCGCTTGCCTCCCCTGCGAGCTCCTAGGCGCGCGCCCCTCCGGGCGCGGACGGGCGGCTACGCCAGAGGCGTCGCTTCTGTGCGAACGCTTTTCGCGCTCTCCGGGGCGCGGCCCGGGGGCGCCGCCGGCGGGCCCGCGCGCCTGCTCCAATCGCGCGGCGAGAGCTTCCTGGGCGCGCCCTGGCGCCAATGCCCTCGGTCTGTTGTGTTTTCGACGCGTCGGGGGGTCTGCCCCCCGGAACGCAGCCCGGTGACGACGCCGGCGGCCCTGCGC